GAAAATATACATATATATATTATTTTATACTCTATTTTCAATATTTAACACAATCGTCTTAATGCTCGCGCTACTAAATTTAAAATAACCGAAATTAAAGAACCGTCGGTATACCGTCGAAATTTTCAGTGAGTTCATTGCATACTTATTAGTATGCCATATATTGCATATCATAAGCAATATGAAGTCTCAAAGTCAGTAAATATACAATGGCAGCTTCCCTGCAAAGCGGGTACATTTTAGCGACTTGTTATTGTTCACTTTGCAAACATTAAACTATTTGTTATTTTTGTTCAGAGAATGGGAAAAAAGTAACATATCGCCTTTTGATGTTAGCAAAAATTGCATGCTGTCTTTTTCTAAGTTATGACATACATATGTACATTTGTTAACAAATCTCCTTACAGTCTGATAATGGTATCAAATACTCTTGTTACCGCATTGTTACCTATGTGTTAAGCATAACGAAAACTATTTGCTACATAAATTTCTGGTAGTGTTATTAGTTTGGTTAGCAGTTTTTCACCATTACCATATAAACATGTTAGCATGTTTGTTGCCATGTGAGATATGAAAATGATCTAGCGTGTTTTACTCATTGCAGAGTATCTTTGTTTGCTTTCTACGTGGCGGGTTCYAAACCCWGCGCACAACCGGTCATGTAGTCAGAATGAACGAAAACACTCCAGCTCTATAAGTATTTAACGCAGTACTCGCCGGGGGAAGCAGATGAAGAGGAAGACCTCCACTCCATTTCAAGGACCAGGTGGAGAAGGCCGTGGCTTCGCTTGGAATCTCTAATTGGCGCCACGCCTCAAAAACTTTATTAGATTACTATAGGATAATTGTTGTAAAAGAAAAGTATTTTATTAATGAAATTTGTTATTTGAAAACAACGCTACTTATTTTTTCACTTTGCACAGATTCCCTTTCCTCATGCATTGTTTTAAAGGCAGCAGTTTGATAACCAGCAAGTAGCTGTAACTGTAAAAGAGCAATTTTACTGTTTTATTAAGCTTCTTTTGTCTAACTTTATATTATACTGATGTACGAATTAAGTGCACCAGCCTTAAACAGATATCCTGATACCACGATCAGCAATTCCCAGTCGTTTTTGTAAACTTACTTCAATTATTCTTTCCCGTCTTGTTAAGCTGCAGAAAAGATAGTTTTAAGTAASTAGTAAAGAAAAAAATCGCCTTGATATACTGCCATATATTGTCCCCTCGATTTAAAATTACAGACATCCAATTTAAAGACTTTTTTGGAACATTAGGTCTAGATTCAATGCAAAACACACAYATTGGGGTTCTTCTTCTTCTTCTTCTTAATTGGCGTAGTCACCGCTTACGCGATTATAGCCGAGTTAACAACAGCGCGCCAGTCATTTTTTCTTTTCGCTACGTGGCGCCAATTAGATATTACAAGTGAAGCCAGGTCCTTCTCCACTTGGTCCTTCCAACGGAGTGGAGGGTATCCTCTTCCTCTGCTTCCCCGCCGGGTACTGCGTCGAATACTTTCAGAGCTGGAGTGTTTTCGTCCATCCGGACAACATGACCTAGCCAGCGTAACCGCTGTCTTTTAATTCGCTGAACTAT